ACGAACAGAGTAGGGCTAATTGCAAATACGGGCAGTAAACAATTAAGAGTACCTTTATATATACACAATCGTTCAGTGGATGACATCCAACAGCAGATCAATAGGATCATGTGTAGGCTAACTTCATTGGGAAGCGTATAACGACCAAGCTCTTTCTATGATTTCCTTTGAATTGATTAGCCTTCTACGAAGGCAACGAAAAGATTGTACATTCTTCTATATATAGCCACGAAGTTAGATCTTTCTTCAATATCGGAGGCTGCCAGATTTTGGCCAAGTATCGGACGTACAGACAAAAAAGATGAACAGCACAATATACTATACGGATAACAATCCTTTGGGTTGGATATGCGTGAAGTTTGTATTATTAGACCTCATTGAATATAATATGCCAATGAGTGGCTCTTAGTCATTGTCTGTACCCCACTAGGCAGGGCGAATTCCCGAGTAGAACTCTGCTGAGTGATTGCTAAAGGATTATGATTTTGGGCTGAGTTTGACCGTATCTGATTATGTTTGAATGGGGGCACAATGCACCGTCAATACGAATTAGAATGAAGTAATCAAGCATTTGGGACTGGAAATTAATGAGCTGTTGCACTTGGAAATATGTTAATAAAATAAATTACTATATTTTACTAGCATTGAATGGTTTATTAAGTATGCCGTTTTCTTTGTAGTTGCTGATAAGGCTAGTCGATAGTTTGGAACTTTCCACATGCCCAGCCGCTGCAGGCGATTGAAATTCGTATGCTTTATATATCCACGAAAAGAGTTCGTAACTCGTAAAATGAACGTATAATTCTATACGCTAGTGTGCTATGTTGGTGACGGAAGAGCATAGATTTTTGAAATAGACATTAAGGAACGTCTAAAAATACACATAGATTTCTCTACTACATGTATGAGACAACCTATAATTTCACATACATGCAGCTTTCTAATAGAAGCACAATTAAACGCGAAGAAAAGAAAGCTTGTTAGCTAAAATTTCCGCCCGATTAAAATGCACGATTTTGATATTATAGCTTTGGCATTTTGTATCGGATCCTTCCTGTCCTAAACGTAGCATAACCGTTTGCCCATGAACCGAAAACATAAAATTGTCCATGCACAATCAAATATACGCACAAAGTTACATGTTAGATATCGTTCGATTTTCTGCTGGCATGATGCCTTCCTAAAATAAGTTTATTCGAGGCGTTCCAGTGCTCAATCCATTAAACCAAGTTTCCTCTTGAACGGTGCTAAACAACTTCCCGAGGGTCTATCTCTTTATTTGATTTAGTTAATTCTACAAAAATACCAGATAAGCCACTGATGCTCCTGGAGTGACATTCGCTCAAATAAACTGCACGCAATTAGGCCATCGATACAAGTACAGATGAAAAAAAACCTCTTTCACCAAAAAACAACTTACCCAGACGATCCTTCGAAGGTGGAACTTTCAGCTTTGGGTTTTATTACCTACAGCGTTCGATAAACTTTTAAACAGTGTTGCGTTTACTAAAAAAAGAGACGATTGACTTGCAATTATCCGTAACAGATTTGCGCGCCAGATCAGTTGTCAAAATTATCAACTCAGACTAGGCGGCCTCATTGATAACTCGCGGTTAGCGGACTATACGTACCCTCCCAGAACGTATCCACGCATTCAATTTTACGATTCTTTGGTTTCTTGCCACTGGCCAGCTGTTGTTTATGCGTGCTTCGAGTAGGCCGAGTCGCTGTTGAGCTGGCACAGCTGTACTTCAAAGGTTCCGTTGCCACACCTTATAACCAGTTTTCATCGATAACGATTAGTATTCTGTTCATCTGCCATTTTGTGTTATACTGGGTGAAAACAGATCCGTCCCACATCGTATGCGATGTTGTTTCGTCGACTAGCTGGGGCATCCTCGTAGAGCGGCCGCTGTTGACTATTGCTTCTGCCTATTGGTGTCCCTGTCCACCGAATGGTGAAGCAGATACACCTAGGAGTAGATAACGAAAGATTTCTGTTGCTCAGATGTGCAGATTCAATGATAATGTGCGCGGTCGACCGTAGGTAAATGCTTGAGCGTATTGCCAATCGACTTCAACCGATGACCCAACAGCCTATTCCCCGATTCAAGCAGCTGCGTCGGATACACACATACATACGCGCGCAGATAGACATACAGCTAGACAGAGAAGCCCGGCGAACCGTTATAAAGTACAGGTCGACGATATAAAGTTCTACTAGGTCTCACAAAGGAACCTGCAACGTCTTCGTTAAAAGAAGCATTTCTACACGAGCATTTGATGGAATTAAAGTCTAAATGAAGATTAGTCGACAAGATCACGGTCATTTCTGAAATGATCTTCAAATACGCGTCGCAGATACGCGTCATATGGTTCACTCCATTCTGTGTATTTACAAGCAGGAATGCAGAAAAAATCAACATGTTTTTTTACCTATCGGTGATATGCGACCAATATGACTGAATATACTTAAATTTGCTTTCTATCAAATGGCCGCTTGGGCGCATAAAAGTATATTTTTTTTGTCGGGCTAGCAGAATCTATTACGAAAGCGTAGTAAGGATAGCGATTCACGATATAGCAAACGCAATATGAACTTTCATTTTAAAGCTCGTATGGGGATTAGAAAGAAATAGACATAGTTTATAGGAACTAAGGTGAAGTAGACGGCTGCTGAATGAGACCATACGGAGGTAACGGCTAATGGTTCTTAAAATTGGGTCGATTCTGCCATTCAAAGGAAGCATTTCTATTTACGTTAAGTAAATGAAAATAGCGTGCGCATATTGTACGGAGCTGATAATCTACGTTTAGAGAGCAATTCCTTTGGAGACAATTAAATCAGCTTTGTGCATAATATAAGCCCCTTGACTGATCCCTCAATAAGGGATGTGTGGAAACTTAGATCGGGATAGTTGCACGGTTGACTGGTGGATGAAAGGCGAATATGGGTTCTAAAACGAGATTTTCTATTCAAGTATTTTTTTTTAAGAATTAAGTATTTATTATTATCGGAAGTAACAGCTGGATATATAATGCGTCTATTAGGTGATACTTCCATCGAGTCTCTGAGCAGTAGCGCATACCATAGCCATATTTTTCTTTAACTCGATGCTCTGAAGTGTGTACTCTAAAGATACGGCAAAACAAATCGGCATAGTCCAAAAATATTCGTTTTTCGTTTACATTGGAGCCGTATTAAGCTAGATATACGCAAATTCTTTAAGAAATTACTAGCCATTTTATAGGCGGTAAATGGTGGCTTTCTATTCGTTAAGCGTTTCTATCTCCCATCACTTTCATTAATCAATAGATTCTCATAGAACAACTGATGGACGAAATCATACGCTTATTTTAACAAAACGAAACGCGAGCTCGTACAGCTACTCCAAGTTGCAGACTGAGATAGACTGGCTTCAATCTATAACTTTACAAATGCGTTTAAGTCATTTGTTAAGCTCTTAAGATCGCGTCGTAACATCACATTGAACAATAATACGTCTACGTTGAACAGCTGAAAGAATACTACGAACGCTTCAACATGGCCAATACAACTTTTCTATGACGTCTTGTACAACGGTCGATCGACACAAATTATCACACGACCTAAGGTCAAATTTGTGCCCATTCGCAAGGTCCATTGTTTTTCTTAGGGCCGCCGTACGCACCCCAGTAAAGCGATTGCTCGTCCGACGATATCAATGTAACCATCCTACGTTTCATCCTCGTGCATCGCACTCTTTCCCTTCTCTAAGCGTTTCTATTAGCTTATGGTGATCTACCCAGCGCGTGCGCCCACGGCCTCCGGTGGGTAATTCAGCACTTAGCATTAGACCGCTGACCCAATACAAATATGGTTCTGACTTTACTCGTACTGCGAAACAATGGTACATACTTATCGTATATATGCAGTAGCAACGGTAAAAGAGCTGGAAATGTAATCCTGTCGCTAGCCAGATTCATGTATGAGGTCTATGTGCAGGATTACGGCGGTTTTCGTTACGTCTCACAACTGAGGTGGATCTTCCTATTCGTCCGCTTCCGTATGTCTAAACGCTTGGGTTTAGGAAAACGGTGCATGACGATAATTTGCGTGATCCCTGATCACCTTAGCCGACAGCGGCAGGAGCACACAATAGGCAATAGCGCACAACAGCATCGATCGAGTATGTACGCGAGTACTTTGAGGGAATCATCGTGGTGCCACTTGACAAGGAGGTGATTTGATGGTATGGCAAAACGTCCTGATGCAAGAGGTCTCTAGCTCCATGTATTTTTAGGCTCGAAAAACGGGTATATCGATTTAATAATCGATACACGAAACCGCGGTCGTGCAATCGTGCAAACATACATAGCGCGGTGGTCGGGTTAGGTACCTCTACGCGTGGGAAAAATGCAGGTGGCGGGTGTGGCGTAGCCGGAGCCAACTCAGATGAGATGTTGATTGGTCTTGTCGCGTGCCAGGATAATGGTACGCGGGCCGATGACAGCAGTTGCTGCATTGATTTTTCAATAATCTATTGGGTAGTGTTGCATTTAAAGCGCGGCCGATTAAAGTAGCACAGAACTTGAGCCGGAACGGCAAACTTTATGACATCGGATTTACTAGCGGCTCGACTTGATGTGTCTGAAAAAGAATGAGCACCTATAATGTATTGGATGTTAACATCATTTGTGGTCTGCAAAATAAAGGGAGCTCTCTTAGAAACAAGCAAAAGTGACTAAAATCCTATAAAATTATAAATTCCTTCTAAATTGTCAGAGGTAAAAATGCAGTTAATTTTTAGTTACATGAAGTACTCTGCAGTCAGAAGAGAATCATACGTATGTCTGAGAATTTTTAATGTCACCATCCGGTCTGCCAAATTAGCTTAAGGAAAATTTTGCCAGGGTCTTTCAAAAACCATTAAGGCGAGGTTAGACCCTTCTTTCAGAAAACTGTTTCATATTGCATTGCTGTATCAATTTTTCATTCCTCTCTTTCCATAAACGCGTAGGAACCTGACGATGGGGTTCGCCAGTGACCTGCAAGGCTTCGAGAGCCACGACGCTTTACTTAACGTACAAGATGCAGAAATCGAGCTGCTCGAGCACCTTCGACGCTGCGTTCAGATCAAGGTGAAAGCGGATAGGGAGTATTCGCTCGCCATGACGTCGATGTTCGTACAGGCGGGAAAACTTAACGGCAACCTCGAAGAGCTTCGCGGGAGTCTTATTAAAAAGGTGAGTGAGCTCTTGTCGAAATGCAACTCCCTTCCCTCATGAATTCTTTAACGTTAATGGAATACTGGCAATGCCATTGTTATATAGACAGGGTTTATGAGTTCATCTTAAAAGGTAATTTGCTGGTTTGTATCTTCTCAGCTTTCAATCGCACTATTTAAAATGCTGCGTGAGAATAAGCTGAAGGACCGATCCCACTTTGGATCACCAACGTATGAACGAAAGGAAATATCGATGCGCTGCATCAGCAGCATCCCGGAATGTATTTTTACACAATTTTTTTTTTGTATAATTAGTTCAAAAAGCTAGACTAGATAGTAGTCTGATTTGATTTATTTTGTAGACCAGTATCTGACGTTTTAAGCTCTATGATATAAGGTCATTGTAAACACATGTAACCGCTGTTCAGTTACAAAATTGATGAGCTAAGTCGTCGCTGCTCCTCCTGTCAACGTCCGATGTTGCACATTTTTTCATTACACATAATTAACACTAACTCTGCCCGACTCGTCAATAAACATTGTACGGGTTTTCAAGAAACGCAGTTCCTGAACAAACGCTACATCACCGTTAGTTATTATCCCTAAACTCTTGAGAAGCGTAACGCAGACGACACAGGTGTGGAAGTTCGCGTAAAGCTTTGCTGTCTCAGTATTTCGATATCAATTTATATATACGTGGGTTTTATACAACAATTGCGCATGCTGGATTAATGTGGTGAAGCAGACGAATGAAGGTAATCCGCTAAACAAACTGATTTTGCTGTTTCGTGCAACTTTTGTGGTGCGAAGTCTGCCCAGTGAACGTACCACAACGATGAGTAGGTTACTGGTGGTTCTGAATAACAGTCGGTACTAAAGCATACCGTTCAATTGCAATTATCGTTTGCTTGTTTAAAGAGGTGCAATTCCACCGACCCTGTTCCCCATCCCTCATACAACATTGACTGGTTATTGCTACAAACTAATGCATCGGAGGAAATTAATTGTACAAATTCTAATTAAATACCTATATGTACTGGCCTGATAGGGTCGAATCGTTTCTATCTTATTGATTTCGACGTTGGTAAAAGACAAAAAAGTTAAGAGTCATCATATAATGAGTGTGGTTAGTTACGTCGTAGTTTTTTTTGGGAAGTGTTTGCCGAATCAACCTCCTCAGTCAAGCTTCACAAAATCACTATACGTAGAAATGGCACGGCCATGGACTTGAATATGATGCTCTTGGAAAACTTGTAAACCAAGCTTCTAGTTAACACATTAATCCAATCATATTCGGACAAAATATAAGCAAGAAACGGTGAAATTTCCTCGCCTATTTTCCTAAATATGCGTCATGGACAAGCTGACTGTGGTTTAACATGACATTAGTCAAAATCAAATTTAACAGCAGCTCCCAATCCTCTTTCTAAACGCTGCCAGTTTACCCAGAGATGCTAAACTCAAGCATGCGCTATGCGGGGCAACACGTTCATCAGTCTTGCTAACCGTTATTCTCAACGTACCGCCCAAGGAAAAACGTCTCATGCTCGGTCTATGTAATCATCTAAGCGCCTGCCTTGCCTCTTAGAATATTGTCGAATGGCGTAGGAACTTTCAAACTTGATTGCATTCATACATGTCAATACATAAATAGATCTCGTGCGTCACCATCGAACACAGCGTTGGCGTCATCACTGAGATCAATACTTTCGAGGGTACATCGCTTAGGGGTTCATCATTGCTTCGAACAAGGGGCACGCGCGTTATGTTTATGTGTATACCCATGGGGTTAGGCGTTAGTTTTAACTGGTTGGCTGGCGCTTATCTCGCAGTCGGTAATTCTGACTACGAACAGCAGCCCAGTATAGCGGCATCGGCTGCTCGTAGTCATGTACGCTCATCAGAGACTTTAAATGTAATGATGTAGTACAATTGTTTCTTTTCCGGGGGAGCTGCTACATACGAACGCACTGGATAAAGTTGATGCAAAACGTTGGGCTTTGTTCATCGCTGCCTGCCTGCCTGTTGGGACCTCTAAGTAGCCAGTACCACTTTTAAATAAAGTGCCCACGGAGAATAGCTAAGTGCTTATGTAACAATGAATTAAATATATTCCGGACTTGAGCTAGACATAAAACAGCTTATAACCTATAAACGGGACATGAAAATGGCGCATGACGAGCCGGGATGTTTAAACCCGGTGCACCCTCGATACGATAAAATATAACATTATGTTTACGTGCCTTCTGATGGAGGCTAGCTAGATTAGATGGTAGCCTAGTGTGTAGGTGTCCAAGTGAGTGTGTAAGAAGTGGAGAAGATAGGCACAAGCTCGTTTTGAATCTTGACTCTTATTGACGTTCCCATAGTGTGTAGAAGCCGGTTAATAGCAGCAAAAACGAGTTCTTGCAGATACGTGCAATTAATAAATGCCTTTTGCTAACGTGGAATATTTATGGGGTCGTACAGTCTTAGTGAGTTATTAGTAATTTTTCTCTTCTTCTTTTTAGGCGTGGGATACAATCGTTGAAACTACTGAAACAATTGGGAGAATAGTTCGTCAAAATGCTGATTTTCTAGCGGCTAACACACTTGAAAGTATCACCAATCTCATCCTTGAAAAAAAAGCCCTTCGTAAAGTTTATATGGAGGAACACCACAGGATACATGCTGAACTAACAAGGGTAAGTCATCCGTCAAAATAATACGCTTAGTATTGTCTTGCTTCTTATGAGCGGGCATAATCCGCTTATTAAAGAATTTGAAATATAATATCTATGTATTATATATTGGCTTGCAAAAAGCTAGCAACTATAAATCAGCACGTCCTCTATAGATTATATTTAAATAAACTCTTTTACAAGCCTTTGTTGAGCCACTAAATTGCTAAATCACTGACACCAAATCAACTTTTAGCGGTAGTTATTTGTATTCCTTTTTTTTTTTACAAAGGGCACTTGCATGACAAAGGGCCTCAACCCCGACGCGCATTGCTGGGAGCTATGCCATTTACTAAAACAGACTGAACTGAAGACTAAAGGGTAAAGATAGTTTTCTGGGGGGGGGACAACGAGAAAAAAGGTTGTTCGCGTCCTCTTTTGTGCGTTGTATTCATGCCCGAAAAGGAGTAAGGCGCATGCCGCTGCCTATTGTGACATGCGAAGGCAGCGTCGACGTCGGCCGCGGCCTGTGCTCGACGTAAAGCGGGATTGCACTGATTTGAGATCGACACGGATTGGGTGCTTAGCCGTCCATGTTGGCATTCAGCAAAAGCTCTTCTATCCGGCGGCGTACTTTCACACAGACGCTGTCTGCGGCGCCGACAAGAACTGAAGCTGTTTGGGTCTTTGGGGCGTGACGTGGTATCGCCAACAAAAGCTCTGTAAAGACGTTTTAGTGGCAAGCAGAGTTGGCGTTTCCGTAGGCAACTACTGGCACCTTCTTTCTAAGTATAATCCAACAGTGCATCAGCCTAGAATAGAGAAGAAACTCGAGACGAGGTCTTCTCATTGAAGGTACCTGTGAGCCCTTTTTGGGTAGGAGGCACGATCAACTCGAGCGTTTCAAGGCCCATACACGAACGTGGATGGAGCCCCTCAGGGGAGTAGTCTGCAGCGCAATGACGAGATTTCAACATCGCTAGCCGAATAAAAGTTACGCATGTGGGTTGTCTGCTTATTCAGTGATGCCAAATTCTCTAACGCCACCGTCGGACTCCGCCGTTTCGTCGTATACGCATCGTTCATCGTTGCTGGACTCTATCCACAGATAATTGTTAAGTAGACGTTTAACATTTTTAGGCTTCGATCTATGTTAAACCACAGGAGACTACGATTGGTGCTAACGGTTGGTTCCGTGGGCATATCTTTAGAGCTTCTTAAGAATATATCAATCACAAGTAAGCGGCTGTATTATATGCGCATTTATAATAAATGTCTGAAAGTATGAATCCGATTATATACTTGTGCTACGTGTTGCGCCGGAATTTTCGAATTATCCACGAAAGGAGTTTACAACCCACAAAAACACTGCCACAGCATTCGTTAGTCCTTTTTTTTTTCGACAAAACTGTGAACTTTGTTTACCACCGGAAATGTCCTTACGCTTTCTTGCATTCTAAATCATTGAAAAAGGTTTGCAAGATGTATCGGTCCGCTCTTTCACGTAAATAATAACATAACCGCATTATTGAAAGGTCAGTAAATGGCTGGTCTTTAGGCGCGACAGTGTCGGATGGCCCCCCATTACGTGACTAACTCCGCTCGACTTTTTCTTATAGGAATGCCTAAAGAGCAAAGTATACAACAACGATCCACGGACGATAAACAAACTTAAAGGCGGTGCTATAATTTTAGAGATAGGACCAAATAGATGCGAAGAGGTGGCAAAAATTTACATACTCTCAGTTGTTGGTTGTTGGTGTCATTACGAAGTTGCTTCGGATTATATAATCGTCTCTACATATATATGGTGGTATTATTATATTCTATATAAAACTCTGGGTTCAAGAGATGAAGTCATTTGGATTTTAAGCAAAAAAAAAAAAAGTAGCATTGATTCTGCAAAATTACAGGCTTTAGGTCAAATATCGTTCATGATTATCATATACGAGAGTTTGTAGTATTTTGATCAGACATTCTATCATATTTGGCCATCATCATCATCGTTATCCCGCGAGCGTTCCCGCTCAGAACCCTCCACCTTCTACTTCGCCAAGGCCCGTGCATCCATACACTCGGAACTATCTTCTATGTTGTGTTTATGTGGTGTTCCACTGCATTCTACAGCTTCATGCCTGCCTCGAAAAACTCAACACCCACCGCTTTCTCCCTATTCGCCGGTGTGGGTATGTGCGTGTGCGTGTGTGTGTACTTTGGCAAAGAGGCTCTAGGAGCCAAGTTCGTGTCATCCATGATTGCACGATGCGCAGCAACTGTTCTAATATCCACTCGCCAAGGCAGTTCTCTGTCTCTTTTTATCCTTTGTACACCCCCCCCCCCCCCGGGCAAATCTGGATTGAAAAAAGATACAGCTCGTAAGCTAAGGGTGTGGCAAGCGAGAAGGTCAAAGCGACCCCTCGGGCAGTTGACTTTCTCAAAAGCTGAAAGGAACAAAATCAGTCAAGAGCAGTAACAGTGGTAGTAGCACCAATGGCTAACGCAAGCAACCTGTCCCTGCACAAACAGCCTACAGCAGTACGGAGGGGTGGTCGAGCTGCCCACGTTGATAAACGCTCTGGGAGTAAGGCGCGGTGCAGGATGCAGGCCCACTTATTCAGGAAGCAAACAATTGAGCTGCGAACGAGAGCCGGTTTGATATTCAGGGGCTAGGGAGGCTCTGCTGGCCTGGGAAAGAACTAACAGTATGATATGTATTCTAAGGGGAGTGAATATTTAACTAGGTTAAATGCTGTTGTTCAGATGACCAATAATAACTTGATCTGATTTGAGTATCATGCTGTACTTTACAAATACCTGTAAAGAAATAGGTAGGAATACTTTTACTCAATAATTTTATAGCTTTAGAAGAAGATATCCAGTACTTTCTAAAAAAAAAATTACCCGGTCTGCAAATTAACTTTTGTTGTTTTGAATAAAACCTCCTCGAAATGGAAAATTTTCACAGAGGAAGAGCCTGCAACAAGTCTCTTCTTAAAGTCACACATTGGTCCCTGTTTATCCTTCTCGAATGATGTTGAATATTAGAGACAACGAAACTTTTTGGGCGACACCGAATTAGGATGGTTTAACAATCACGTGTGGGAACGACGATATTTCTTGCCGTTAATTTATTATGATTTACAAGAAAAAATCAGTACAGGAATAAACATTGTATGTCAATATTAGAAGAAAGGCTACAAATAAGATCAAAATCTTTTTATATCAGCTCCGCGAAGACGTGTTTCGAATTAAAACTGAATATGAACGGTCCGTTGAGGCGGCAAACGATGCTCGAATAAAATACGACGAGGTAGTTTCGCGCGCTGATTCCGGACCAACGAAACAACGAAAGGTAGACGACCTTCGAGACAGATATTATAAAACATCCCGAAAATTACATCAGGTGAGACACTTACGATTTTATTATTAATTTACGTTTTAATTGATTAGTATTTCACCATTATTTCTATAGTCCCAAGCGGAAATTGCTTATTATCTCAAACTGACTCCTGTCTGCAGCGATGAGACAAGAAATACTGACACAGCCTCAAACGGATTGTGAAAAGTGGCCAATTATTTCGAATTGTACCTTCAGTGTATCGTATTATACAGATCCGAATGTCTTTTCAGCCTGTCCTTTTTATATCATCTGTTTGGGTTTATCTTTTTAGATTCACAATGAGTACGTGCTTACATTGAACGACGCAATGCAGTATGAGAAGCAACTTCGGACGGTTCTATTACCTGACCTCCTCGAATGTCAGGAGTCAGCGCTTCGGGAAGCTCTGGAAACCTGGTCAGCATCTATTATAGAAGCCTTTGCATACTTCTAATATAGTCATGACGTAGGGCATCCCTACAATAGATCATCCATTCAACGACCGGATATTTTAACCATTATACATAGCGTACTATGGAGATGTTAAGCGTTGCTTCAAATGTGTATAGCTTTTTTGCGGGAACTACTAGCTGTATCAATTTGTGTATTGGTATAGCTGGTAGATGACTTCAACTATTTCTTTCCGCTAGAGATTGCTTCGATTAACCAATGTTTGTCCTTCTGCTAGACCGTCGTGTACAATTAAAGCGGAAAATGGTTATGAACGTTTTTACGACTAAGGAGGACTGTTAGCTTAGTTGTAGAATCAAATCTCCGTCACGGACCCGTTCGAGCTAAAATCGTACATCCGTCACCTCCTAAATATTTGATAGAAGCAATAAATATCGATAAAGTCTGATTAGTAGATATACAGCTTGTCCAACTCCAGCCGTTTAAAGTATCGGACGTATAATATGAAAGTGTCTATTTTCCTGCTAGGCCTTCGGTGATTTACGCATAATTGGCCGGTTTCAGTCAGCATATGTATGAAATAAATAGCCCGATGCGCGGATATCTACATCGGAACAGACATGGAGTCTCGTAGTAATTCAGATCATAGGGTAATGCAGAATAGGCTCACAATGGGGAAAGAAACGAGGAAAGTAGATTTACGATTAGGACAGAAGATAGGTCGCTAATTGATACGGATACCGCTTGTATTGTAACCTGCTTCTTTTGCAGCTTCAAGCTTAGCATTTTTTAATCGTACACGCCTATTTTTTGTTTCCACTATTTCCTTTTATATCTAGACATACTCGGTTTAGAAAACCAGTGATTTAGCTTGCCATCGTATGCCATACGAACAACCTATAGAGGCAAGATACACCCGGGAACTGCCGGTGTTCCTCTTAACAGAATGCCCGGATCCGAAATAAAAGAAAAACTGCTACGTCTAATATGGACTTCGTACAGTTAGATCAAAGTAGGAAAATATTTTTCCAAAGAGATTGTGATAATAATGGCATATAACAGTTTTTTCTTATATACCGAAATTTGCCATTTTCACTTGAGTGGTACGACCTTTAGGAAGTATCTATCCATTCAAGAGCAAATCCTGAATTATAAAAGTTTTGACACAAAAAAACTCTCGTTTGGCTTTGAAGCGATGTTCATACTGATATATATATACATAGACTGATATATACATATATGTGTATATATATATCAGTTAGCTCTCACAAAGATAAAACACGGTCGCATAATGATTTTGCGAAGCCTGTTAGAGCTATATAAACGGTTACATTATCAAATGCTGGTGCTCACAGAAGGCGTTTGTAAACCATATTGAATGGGAGATGTATAGTGTAGTTATACGAGTTAGTGTCTACAAACGTGTTCGAATGAGTCGCAACTTTCTTATAGAAATTGATGTGCCGTTTCACAATAGCAGTGGAAGAGTTCGTAAACCGTACGTTAGTCTGGCTACCGAAAGTTACCGTAAGTCGGTAGTCGAACTTCTGTGCGATTGTTGTTTCGATGTGCCTCAAGCACAATTTTCCCTGTGTGATTTATAGCTTTTAGTTATCCAACCGTCATATACCTACAACCGCCAATCATTTCAATCGTTATACTTCTAACAATTAGCACTGACACACGGAACCCAATGGGTTCTTTGGCCGTTATTATTGTTTGTGATTATCCACTGATCACCATTGCTTTTCAACAAGGGCTATCATGTGGCGTACGGATGTAGGGGCGGTTAAAAGTGAAACGCCAATTTACCGTTTGCTACAGAACGAAGTCGACTTCGTTTTTAAATGCTGTTAAACGTCGTTATCCTCTAACTAAGATGTACTGACCAGCTCATCAGTTACTAAAGCCTTTATTCTATTACCATATTACAGACACACTTATAGCACTCGGACGAGACGTATAGTCCGCTGGGACTATTCAGCAGCTGAATGTGCACTTATAAAACGTTCTCGAACTGGTAGAGCCAAAAAGTGGCGACCTCTCGTGTTTAAGGATACGAATGTTATGCGAAATTTCAGCAGAGGGAACAATACCTTACCTACATGAGAGAAAAACCAGCAAAAAAAAGGTGCTTTCGACGAACCGAGGTCGATTACGAGAGTAAAGAATCGGCTAGGTAACTGAAAATACTTGCAAGATCGATGCCGTCCGAGAAAGCTGGAAAAGCAGTACAAATTTACTCTCTCCCTCAGCGGAACTTCCACAAAATGTTCGCGTAACCCCTTATAAAGCAGAGGCATCTCCACGACGCATATCACAAATGTCTCTTTTGTAACTTTAATTTAGAACTTGTCTAGCTTTTTAAGATACATTTGCGAACTGTTTTTAGAAAGATTATTCCGGCGAGAATTAGTGTTACGCCACGTTGACATTTTCTTGCACCCACTTTAAACTATGGTTCTTAACTGCATCAAAAAATCTAGCCGAGTTTTCTGATGGTGTAACAGTGACCTACTACTGATGAGGCAACACTACTGAGAATCCGAGTTCTATATACATTGAAAATTTGATTTTTATTGAAGTCACAGGTTCAATTAAAGCGTCTCACCGATGCGTATCCGGATTTTCTTTTTTAGGCAAGGCGTGATGCGGGAGGTTGTAGAAAGAATAGACTTTTGCTCCGAAGGCTTTCAAGCAACACATGGGCGATTATCGTACGCTTTATCACTTATTGACCCCGACAAAGAGTATCGGGCATTTCTAGATGCGCACAAATCTGCATCCCCAGCTTGGATGGACTTTCAGCTTGCGTCGCCTCTTCTCAACAGTCAGCTGGGCAAATACGAGGGAACCCTTCGGCCTGACAAGCTCGCCGTAGACGACCTTACCATTCACGACCTTCGCAACAGGTCAGTGAAATTCAGTAGGAACTATTATGCTTGTTTCCAGAAACAGATATTAGGTAAAAATAAAATCTAGAAACATGTTAAAATAAAACCTTTTCATACATGTGGCAGAGTATCCGAAATCGAGCGAAGGATAGGTGCGGCACGTGACGATGTCCATGAGAAGGAGAGCCAGCTAAGACAGCTTGAGACCCAGAGAAATTCAATTCCTGACTATTCGTCCCATGGGATCGAGACCAATTAGTAAGTGTCGTCCCCGTCTGAGTAAACATTGAAATGGTATAAAGTTTTGCTGCGCTTGTCCGCGTGTCTCTACCGCTTCTCAAGCGAATATACGAAATGAACTGTACTGGACTTTTACGCCCTGGCTAAGCATATCAGACTGGCATTTCCATTCTCATTATATTGTAGCGCTTACCAAGTGCACGAGGGCCATACTGGCGCACAACTGGAAAAAATTGCGCAGAATTTAACGAATATCTATGTGTTCAGCGAATTGGCAAAACGGCGTGCTGTGGACCATGTGCGACGTGATCGGGATGAAATACGTTGTACTTACGAGCGACTCTCGCATCAGCTGGCGTTAGTTGTGGGTGCGCTGTCTGAGGTCCCGGATCCTCAGAACGTTCCTCGGGCACTTAATCTGCTTGAGCCACCAAGCCCATCTGTTGCATCATCGACATCACAAGAATCGTTGAATTTTTCGCCGGGGCGGTTCACCGCCAGAGGCATTGTCGAGCGTATCAGTCGGCCGTTCCAAAAGAAAGAGGTGAGATCGAATAGTGCGCCTATCGTGAGGGTGCTTAGCGCACATTTCTGCGAGTGTTTGGAATTGAAAGTGTCTATTCTCAGCACGCTGATAGAGTATGACTTTGAGAGATCTATTGTGAAACGTTTAAAGAATAACGTAGCAAACTGTCCTTTCATTACTTATTTATCGTCGTCTTTAGTGACGATTTATTAGGGCCATGTTTTCCTTTGAGCATTTTGTGCGTGCGTGAGTGAATATGAGTTACTAACGTTTTTGGCTGGAATTTAAAATCACTTAATGAGAGCCTGACCTGCTACCAGTGCTTCATATATTTATAACGCGTTTTTTCATTCTCAGTATTGTGTGGCAAGAACCGATGGCTCACTACGTGGGCGTACTACGATCATTTCATGTTCCTAAACATTCGTATTTTTTTTTTACCAGAGACGACTAATCAGCAAATTTCCAAGAAGTTAATCCTCCGAATTGTAAAGCGTATTACTTGAATCAGTCCACACACCCGTAACCAGCATCATCCATACAAACTGTGCCACATATGTAATTGCATGTTATCCGTTCCCTTCTCTGGCCGTGGTCTGCAACTTGTTCAACCATGCGTAAACATTGCTCAATACCGTTATAATCTTCGAAGGAGATTCGAGTTGTAAGCGTACGGCAACGGTCTCCGTCGCCGCCTGATCTCGATAAGGCACATACTCAAGATGAAAGCTTCGCACGAAAGGTACCTTCTTGTCGATTCGGTTAGGAAGCACACACGAAGTAATTACGTCGAGGTGCATGGGGTTTTTAAGGAGAAATTGAAGTCGCTAGCCAAATTTGAAGATTATAATGAATTAATAGTTAGTAATTCGATCACTGTGCCGAACTCTGTTGCGTTCGGTCGAAGGGTCCTGTCTGAGGTTTTGCAAATCACACTCACATATCGACTATACAGAATCGCTTCTATTTGGTAAAATTGCACTAAATCAAAAAGTATCCTGACCTTCGATCTAACAAATCGAATTGAGCGCATGCTTTAGCAGACTAACAGTCGCAAGCTAAGGCTCACAAGCGAATCTGTTTTAGGTAAAACAATTACATTTCGTTTATGCTCCCAATGACCAATGTGATTTTTTTGTCTCTAGATGACAGTCAATCCGAACGTGGCTCTCCAGGACGAAGAATGGTTTCATGGAGTGCTACCGCGGGAAGAAGTAGTGCGACTGCTTGTTAACGAGGGTGACTATCTGGTTCGCGAGACGACCCGAAACGAGGAACGACAAATTGTCCTTTCTGTTAAATGGGCTGGACATAAGCACTTCATTATTCAACATACACCAGAGGTGCGAGCGATTTGAGTCGCTTGGTGGTCATCGAGCTCATTAGGGTTTTACTATATGCCACATAAATTGATTGCAATTTTGCTCTCAATCTTCGTTTGCCATATGTCAACTACCTCTCTTACCCGTTGTGTTTGTGATAACCGAGCATTTCCCTATACCTAAAAAAATGCCGATCTAGACAGGAATGTCGATTGTATATTGGTACAAGAATGACGCTCTTCGTTACGTAATTTAGTACTCGCTACGGCAAATTATATTTACGGAATTGTTTTTGTCACCTGTAATATCCTGCAGGGAAAGTTCCGATTTGAAGGATCTGCATTCGACACAATCCAAGAACTCATCGTATACCAACATCATTCCGAGCTGCCAGTAACAATCAAATCAGGAGCTATACTTTACAACCCCGTCTTCCGCGAAAGATGGGAACTCAACAACGACGATGTTCAGCTTATTGAAAAAATTGGAAGGGTATGTGCCCACCAAAGAAGTCATCGTAGGAAAAATGTTTTAAGCTTTTCTAACCTAGAGAAAATAATTCTAGCCTATATAGGAACATGTATGTATCAAGTTTTGAAAAGTTTCATCTCAGCGCATGAAATCCGCATTTATTCTATGTTTCACGTAAATCGTATTATACCGGGGAAGTTTTGCGGAGTGAATTACGAAGCAACACGTACATACGTCCCAATATCTAATTTCTGTCATGGAAAACTCAAATAATACAAGCACGCCGAAAGACATCCACAATGTAAGATTTTTTTACCTTATCAAACTAAAGATGGTTCACGTGAGCCCCATCTTCTTTCTAAAGCGAACTACTTAAAGGATTTTCTTTAACAGAATAGCAGAATAGTTATTAGTCTGAGGTCATTACAAGTGCATTCGTTCATATACATAGGTATATACATATTTGTGATGAAACAGTACCATAGGACCTATTAGCTTTTTAACTTATCCCCGTGTAGAAATAGCGACGAAAATACTTTGGATGGAAAATTATTGCTACGCGCCGTAACTTTCGGCCGTGCTATCCCAGCACGTGTTTTACGTGTTCCAGCATCCGATTTAGGACCGTTCACGCTCTGGACGTGTTCGTCCTTAAGGTCTGTTCTGGGTGCGCAAGCCGAATCTTTTCTCGGCTGCCGAGACGATACCCCTTGATGTCTAAGCGTATGCACCTCGATGTTCTCAACAGCCATTGACGCTTCAGCGTATGTACCTCGGCCTTCTATACAACCAGTCTCCTTCTTAATTGTAGGTATTCTCGCATGAATGTTTCCGGCCCCTTAGGCTTTAGACTGCGGCAACTGTCACACAAATCTCCCGCCAATACATGTACTCTAACCCGTGTATATATGGAGGGACCAATATAAAAGCACTTTATTATTCTCTGTAAAGTTTTTGTTAAATGTGTGCGTGTCTACTTCTTTTTCCAGGGTAACAAGACAAGATAACGGCTTCGGCCGTAATGACTGTACGATCCACAACAGCGCTATTTAAAACAAAAACCCATTAACGAATACGCCTTAGAACATTTATTTGCTCCTGCGCCGAGTTTTATGATGATATCGAAGTTCAGTCAAGGCTTCGCTCGTTGCATATTTCTGACACACCTCAAAATTTCTCAATTTAATGGTGGCCACTATCAGCGGAAAACTGCAATATCACGGAAACCGGCCGTTACACCTAAACCGGACCGACAGATTAGTTTGAATCTGGTAGCCCCTTAGATAGTGCAGCCACGAGGCACCGTATCAGCATCTATTCGCTATTCTCAGTCTATTGAGTGGTGCTCTTCCTCTCTCCGTGTATCCCCATGACTTTTCCGGTGATTCCATAAATACTCGACTATAGCATCCTAGCTAAATGTTCCTTTGCGGCTTATCGATTTTGACTTTGGCGCGCGCTTTGCCGACCACTTCACCGCGAATCGCTACAGCCCTAAGGCACCGTAAAGGCCACTGAAAAAGAGTTGGAGAGAGTGATTTTATTACCCATAGAATTAGAGTGAGTACTGCTATCAGAAAAAGGAATAAATGGAATTGAAAGGTCTCTAAGGTAACGACCACGGACAAGATGGTCTACAGCCCGGCCAAAGCAACTCGTGTCGTATAGAAATGTCAGACGGCTAGTGGAGAGCATATCGATTAGGCGCAGCTTAATTTTGCCTGGTAGCGCTCGTGCTAGCAATAAGCTATTGCGGAGTTATTGTTTGGCGTAATAATCATAGTTGTCAGTTTTCAACGTACATTGCACGACGTGTAATGATAAAGATTATGAAAAGGGCGAGAAGGAACAAAAAGAGAAAAACTATGATCTGTTTTTAAGGCTATGTCTAACTAGGACCTCGATTTAGAAACATATCCGGTATAGGCCATTGGAGTTTCGACCATTCATTGCAAAATAAGTTCCCTCAGCGTCTAACCATGATTCGAGGCAAAAACGTATGCGCACTATTCTTTGCGTTGTCTTTAAATGTAACAGGGACTGTATTGCGGTCAGCAGGTAAAAACCATCTTAAATGTTGGAAAAACACAGATCTTATGGTCCTACTTTAGAACCATCTCCTCGTCGGTTCTCATTGTGTGTCGTCAAAAAACGATCAAATATACCCTACGAACATAATGGGTATATAACAAAGATTAGACTAAACCGATCGATTAAACAAACACATAAATATACGAAATGTTGCTATATCAAACATGATACGTAACAGGTTAATGGATTCTCATTCCAAACAGCGTATGGGGTTCCTGAGTCCTGTTCATGCAAAAACAGCATCGACCTTATCCGAAGGAGAGACCTCCTCGTTTTGATACCCGTGTTAGCTAAAATAATGATAAATGAATTCCCTTCACTTAATGTCGTTCTGCTCATACCTAAAAGACAACTGCAGCGTTATTGCTGCGGACTATACAGATAGGTGCTATTTTTGCCTAAGCGTGCATAGAGAGAAAGTGAACAGGGGTTCAGGCACTGCAGCATCGCTGATTACGTAACAGCTTCGACCGCAATTTGTTGATGAAGTTTTGTATACTGTTATAATAAGCAGGGAAATTTCGGCGATGTCTACCGCGCGGTGTTGCACCCTTCACGATTAAATGTCGCTGTGAAGACGTGTCGTGTGAATTTGCCTGAGGAGCAAAAAAAGAAGTTCCTCAGCGAAGGTCGAATCCTCAAGCAGTATGACCATCCGAATATTGTTCGTTTTATTGGGATCTGCGTACAGAAACAGCCTATTATGATTGTTATGGAACTCGTCCCAGGTACAGCAGTTGTACATAGGAGCACATAATTATAGAGCACAAAAATGATGTTGGCATTCATTCTTGTCTGATTGTTTTTCTCTATTCAGATTTAATTAAACGTGAGATCTGATAATATAAAGTAGCCACAACTAACTTCGAGAGATATGTAGGTATTTCGATTGAATTTTTCTTTACACCGGTAAAAAATCACGACGCTTAACTAAAGACTAATTAACTCTAATGGAAGTGAATCGTTTCCCGCTAGGCGGTTCATTGCTGAACTACCTTCGACGAGAAGGTCAGAGACTGGCTACTCGTACCCTGGTGAGTATGTGCCTTGATTGCGCGGCCGGAATGGCCTACCTCGAATCGAAGGGCTGTATTCACCGGGACCTCGCAGCCCGAAATTGTCTGGTTGGCGAACGGGACGAGGTGAAGATCTCCGATTTCGGTATGAGCCGTGAAGAGCATGAATACGTCGTTTCTGATGGCATGAAACAGGTAAACACAGCCACAATACATGCAAGCCTGCCTGGTAAGTTACACATTCTTTTAACGCAGCTGCTTCATCTTTGCGCTGAGTTTTGCCTGTAGCAACAATCGTCGCTTTATCAAGTCGGACACGATCCAACTACCAAACTAGTAGCTGTGTCGCGTCCAATTGTGTTGGACGAGCAACCCATTCGAGCCGAATTATTCCCGGGGCATTTCTCTATCAAACGCATAGTAAATGAAAGTCGATTTTAGCGTTGCGGTGAAGATTAAATCTCGTCGTAAGACCACCGTCCAATGAATCTCCTTTAGCCGATTAGTTCCAGTTAGTTTTTCAATAGACGCGTTATATTATCATGTTACAATTGCCGAGATTACCGGTTGCCACTTTTCCGGCGTTGCCTACTTACAAGGTGACAAAACAAACGATTTTCATCATTATTATGAACAAGAATAACTGACAATTAGGATCGAGGTCAGTGCGATGTATTGCCATTGGGTTAGATATGACTGTAAGGTCCGAAATCTGCAAAAAAACAAGCGTATCACGATCAGATCGATCGCTATCTCCGTTGAAAGAGGATGCCAGAACGAAAGGAAAAAAGTGGGGTATACGCAAAGTGGAATATTATCATGGGGAGCTTAGGCTAACACTAGGAACGGCCCATTGGGGTAGACGAAACGTTTTACCCTATTAGGTACGCAATGAAGTCGAAACAACACATTTAAATCATTGTTTCTCTACGTATAAGTACGTTGCATATGGCACGACAGATGGTTTAAATAATGACTTGATTTGGCGACTTATTCAGGCGTTAGCATGATGACAGTTAGCGTTTAACGTTTCCTGTAAACAAATCCTTCTCAGGGGAGACGGAGTACGGATACTCGCCTCTCTAACTAATGCTATGGTACAGCTTTATGAATTCTTGATTCATGCCTTTATGTAATATCTTCTAGATACCGATTAAGTGGACTGCACCTGAGGCATTACATTACGGAAAGTATACGTCTCTATGCGATGTATGGTCATTCGGGGTGCTCGTATGGGAAGTTTTCTCGTTAGGACAGGCGCCGTACGCAGGGCTATCGAACAGCAAGGCCCGAGAAAAAATCGATCAAGGGTATCGCCTGCCTGCGCCGGACAGAATACCTTCACCGGTTGGTATATACATGGCCGTAGGGCGTTTTAAAAGGCAATGTTGTAAAAACGTTGATTTTTCATAGTCAACAATCATCGACAAATTTCGAAAGTGAGCTTGTCCAAAGAGTTGCTATAGATAGCTAACAATATCTATAATGTGTATGCATACACATTTAGTTGAAGTTCATTTGATTTCTATACAATTTATACTTGACATGTTGGAATTAAGGTTCATACCTCAATATAACGCTCTGCCAGAACGCTGAAAATATTTTTTCCAGTTAAGAATTCCAGGCTTTTAAGATATTTATAGATTATATAATGTCTCCTTCTTTTTTTTCTTTTTTTTATATAACTCACTAAGATACGCAGCGTGCAAATGTCTTACCTTGGAATAATCACCCCTTTGATGTACTATCCATGCAACGCTGTCTAATGTAATATCTATGTATCAATAGAAGCTTGCCCCGACCGATATAGTAGATAACGTCCATTTTCTAGAAGGTTAAAGGGGGAACTTTAGATGGAGCAGAGAATTATGTGGCGGCCATTATAAACAAAAAACTAATAAAAAGTTTAATAAAAGAAAGTTAAACGTTGTAACTTTTTTCTACGTTCTATACCTCATATTCTATACGTTGACTTCGTTATCATGTAAAAGATTTACTGCAACCGTGCTTTTACCATGTATAGTACTATCGCTTCTCGCCTATATAAGGTATTGGCGTCACTCGCTTGACTTTTCCTATCGACAAAATGAAAATGGGTATATATATATGAAATTGACTAATTGCCACCAACGTTATTACTGTTCGAAGATTTATGCAAAAATTAAATCATTTAATTACCATACTTTCTTACAAGTTCCACAGTTACAAAGTGCGTAGAAAACGTGTTATAATATTATTTTTTCCTAGCTAACGTACAATCGATGATCGACATATTGTTTCGTCCAGCGACCACAGTCGATGGCGTTACTAACTTAACTCTCTTCTATTCTACGTTCAGGTATACCAACTGATGCTGCGATGTTGGGAGTATACACCCGAGCGAAGACCACACTTCGATGACATTCATAAGGCTCTTCTGAATGTATTTAAGCATTTATAAATAAATAGATATACTGAAAATACTACCACATTATATAATATAATTCTAAATATAAAAATGATGATGAGAAATGTGTTTAAAATAGTAACCAAAGCGAGGCAGAATAAAGTACCAATTTCGTTCTGTACAGACGCAAAGAGATTACGACTTCGTTATTTTACTTTGAACGTTTCATTCGTCTTTTTTTCACACGCGAATAGAGGATCTACCAGGTGGAGGGTTTGCTTAATTTTGATTTGAATGAGTGTATTATGATAATTTACAGATACGAACCAATTGTCCTAGGTTGAGTTAGTAAGGAAGTCTTTTCGAGACCTTTATGAAAAATACCTCCAGGTAATTTTATAATTCATGTACATCGGTCATACGTCGTCTCTGGCGGCTGAATTTTCATCATCGATATAATAGTTATAATGATTCATAAATTTGCAAGATAATTTCTGATGACTATAGTAAATCTTGAGGTAAGGTATGGTCATCAAAGTTCAGGAATCATCCATATTTAATTTGAGTTAACCTGTTCGAGTCCTATCTAACAGTTTCTCTTCGCCATCTCTGTTATTGGTTGAGCTGGCAAATGGAAATTGAAGGCTTCTTACTAGATCGTGTATAAATTTAGAAATTCAGAGATGTGTCTGATAGCTCCATCATGGTTCAGTGGCCCTTTTCGGTTTGGGGCGGTGAGCGCGCGCTTGTCCTGCGAGAGTAATCGTAGCCATCTCTACAAAAGGTTACTTTCTTAATGGTGTAGTGGCAACGTGTTTACCTAAAATACGTGACGGTTTAGGTCCAAAACAAAGTATAGACACACCTGATGTTGATAAAGCCTAACCGTTTGAAGCAGTGCTTCACGGCAGGACCAATGTAAAACTAAAAACATTTGTAAATGCAACGCTGGGCATAGGGACCGCCGACCGTAACCCCTCTAGCTTTTGAGCTATTGAGAGAAACGTTATATTTTATTGCACAAATTAATGACTTATCAATGTGATCTGCACGGCGCTAAATTTAAGAATATGTGAGATGATCGAGGTTCAAATATAACTGAATATAAGAAGATAGGTCCTATTTGCTCACACAGCTGCAAAAATCGGACAATATTAGGTTCTTGGACCATCTCTGAAGAACATCGGCTATGACGGAGTGCATGAATCACCTCATCTGGGGGAAAATATGTAATTAACTGTGTACGTCAACGATCTAGCACTGCTGAGGAAAACCCCCACGGAGCCCTGCTTTAGGACAATTGCGTTCGCTTAGATCGAAGATAGGCAAGAACACCACCTGCAGGTCACATTTGAAACTCAGGAAAACCGGCAAGCGCCTAATTACGCCGTTAAATGTTATATTAGATACAAGATTAACAGGTACATCGCGTATAAGTACGCACCTGGGAAAGCTCTCAAAGTAAAGGAAGCCACACAATGTCTTTTGGCCTCGTTAGCGGAATCAACAGCCTTATATGTCAGTTCACTCTGCGCCAACATGACACTGAGCTTCAAAGGCATCGATAAGAAACCGTTGCAGTCGCCATAGTACATAAGGCAACGTTGACAGGGTTGTCAACAGACCACTACAAAAGGGGCGAAAGGCTGGGCCCTGTAGTAAAAAGGAGATCTACACTAAATAAATGCAAAAAAGGCGGAAATACTTCACACCGAGCCATATAAAAAATGTTAAGAGGAACTGAACGAAAGAGGTGATTTATGGTATGAATAATCGCATGGTAAAGTGTCGTTCTATGTGGCACAACTACTTGTAGTTTTAAACATATATAGAAACGACTGGAAGAACCGAAGCAGCTACTTTTGTACAATGTGCATCGGGTTAAAAAATAATGTAAAATGCACGATTGTTCCTCTTGCAAGCGTAGTAGGAGCACGAACAAAATTTTCAAGAGGAAATTGTGTGCTTAAAGATGTAAAGATAAGGGCTGAAAAAAAGAAGATTGTATGGTCCATCCAGTGACTATATAGGGCAGTTCCTGAGCAAAAATCCGAATGTAACAAAAACGGCTAACAGAACTCTAATAGAGAGGAGTTCACTGAAGTAATGCTAATTGGCTTGCAGTCGACATTTATGAAGTCGCGATAACTTTTTAACGAAGTGAGCTCTCTTTGAAAAAAGGCGGATTTTTCACATGATTTTAGCGTATTCGCTTGAATTCCATTAAAAAAGGAAGTAGGTAAACCGGCGGTAGACAAACTTCGTGTTATGCCGGAAAAAACGAGCCGTCAGGAGCAATGCTTGCCTAAGTCTATGTCGGATGTAAAACGTTTGGTACTGTGCAGGAACTCTTTTAATCGTGCACACTTGCAGTAAAACGTCTCTAACAGTTATGATCTACAAACATAGGATCTCTAATCACGATTGTGTAGAGCTTATTCGATAGCCATGTAGTAGATGATGTTTCATTTAGTTAGTAATCAAAGTTTTCGGCATACTTTTATTAATGGGTTTCTGTGTATCGAAGAAATCTATCATCAAAGTACTGTCGATATAGGCAGATCTTTCGAGATACGAAAGATGCATTTTGTTTACAGAACGTTACGCTTGAACATGTTTAGTAACGGGCTATTTGCTTGACTGAGGCTTTATCGACACTGCTACGTCTTATTAGGATGACAAACAAACAGTGTTCATTATATAAAGAACCGTCATAAGGATCAATGAGTAGTACTACGATGATAATCTTCAGGGCTAATTCTAAGTCTTTTATCATAAATACTAAACAATTTATATAATAATGTATTTTTACAAATATGAACACTTTGATCTTGTACTCCCCAGCATTTTGTGTTTAGCTACGAACGTAGATAAAAAGAAACGCCACATTATTTTAAGAAAGTTCTGCCTATTTCGGTTATAAATTGTAAACAATTAAGTGACACAGATGTTTATGTCAATCATTGCATGTTTGCGCCAAGTCACAGCTTTATTTGGGTTTCCTTGTTGCTCTTCCAGATTACCAATTTTGTCTGTCTCCCTTGTCCCTTGGCGCAGAAGGTGGGACTGAAACTAATCAGTTATTAGAGTTCAACCTAACTACGCCAAAGGGACTAGAGACGTGTGGCTAACAAACAAGTGGATTTAGGAAGAAGTATGTGTATTCAATTAATCGTACGACGATTCACGAGATAGCGTGTTCGTCCTAAATTAACGTTGGTTTCATTCCTGGGCTGGGGCTCCAAATCGACCACTTACCTGGCCAAATATCCTCATTTCTTTCATTTCTCGTGGAAGAGTAGCCTGTGGAGTACAGAGCTGAATATAGGTACAAGTGCAGCATTTTCCAGTGGATGATTCTATTGAAACTATTCATCCATGACCTGTGGTTGTCTTCCAGCATTGACTTGCTCTTCCACTAACCATAATCGTGATGCTGCTGATTGAGAATAGTAACATAACTATCAAGAGCATAGAGAATAGTAGAAACGGGCTGCTACCGTCTAAGGCCATCGTTAAGCTGATTCATGCTGGAAAAAAATGTACACCTTTGAATTAGGAAATCTAAAATTAAATTATCGATTATTCGAAGCGCTGGAATGAACACACACCGGTATGAAGCAGGCATGAAGATCACTGGCTTGGAACATACCTACCCCAGGGGGTCGCTACGTACAGGGTCAAAAACGTGTTTCTACACAGTAACATGTTGCAGGTACATGATTTTTGCTTCAATCGCTAGCTAATGAAAGCTACCTTGTCATGTCCAGAATCAGATCTTCGTCGTCGCAGAGCAAGCTTTGATTGTGTATTTTTGCATGCTTGTACATTGTTGCTCATGAAGAAGAGGTTTAAACGCAGAGCACGTCTAATCTAATCTGTCGGATGAGAAGACAAAGTTCCAACGATAGTTTATATCTACCTCTGCACAATTAAGTAATCTTGAAGGGTCCTGATTCAGTCCAAGTTCGAAGCTGCTGGCAGTGCTCTTTCCAAACCATGGTAATCTCTGGTCCTACTAAATCCCCAATTTATTGACAGCCATCTCCATTCCAGAAACTCTCTCTTATTATGATTGACGGTGGCGCTAATTTATGCGTTGTTTCAACTAGCATCGCAAAGTACTGCGCCCAACATTTTATTGCTGGGATAGCGCGAGACATTACCATGTTGTACATAATCATAAACGCCCTTAACGCCAAGTCGTCCCTACCATGTCCACTTCTTTTTCCCGCTATTCACTTCCTAATACCGACTCTGTTTAGTTAGTTAACACGTGTGAAACTCTGGAAACGACTGCAAGGGTTTTACTGCATCTGTCCTATTTAGAGTGATTAAATTTATCATTTTCTATCGAGTTCTAGCGGCCGAGTTTAACTTCAAGCTGTCTATTTCCCCGCTTGATGTTCCCTTTCAACTTAAATCTACCCTTGTAGCTCCTATTTATTATATAGAGTGATCTTAACATTAATTTTTCGATTGCGATAACATCCTTCCTTTTTAAGTTTTTCGGGAAAGTGCATTCATTCAAAAGTGCTATCACAGTTGAACAGCCTCTGTTTTGCTTTTAATTTAATTTGCCGACGCCACACGTACACTTACTAGACAAAACGAATACTTCGTCATTCTTGGTCTCTAAGGAATAAACTTTTTTTAGCAATAAATGTTTAAATACCATTTAGACTGTTCCTTAATATTTCATAGATTATGGAGGTATTATCTAGCCCCCTCAATCCGCGGTCCATATCCCTGATCAATCCTTCGATGCACTGATAAGGCAGTTCTGGTCGGATTTACGCTTTAACTTAGTGACCCTCACACTAATAGGATTATACCCAAGTGTCTGCCTGTTACCAGTAAACCATCTTTGTTGAAGTATAGTAGTCTTCCACTTCAAGTTCCTCCTTCCACGTACAAATTGCGTTTTCTTGGTACCATATGTCACGACCTGAAGTGTTTTTGTTTGAAGAGGTTTTTGTAACGCGGCTGCAATGTGTTTGAAATGGTACATGCGCAACGCCTGATGTCTCCACATCGGTCTTCTCCCAAACCCATTAGCTTAAAATCTGTCTCGTGTTATTCCGAGTACCTAAAAACAACCAATTTTATGCATGTGAGGACTGCGAGTTCTCTGCCTATTCTCTTTGTGGCCGAGTACGCACTATCTTGCAAACTCTTAAATCTGAGTACCATATCAGAGGCACGCGTCCGAATGTTACCTATGCCCATTTAGAACGTTCCACATGCACTAGCGCAGTGGGTAATATACACTAACTAAACTTAACGATACGCGGTGATCTGGGGGGGGGGGGGGGTTTGAATGCGGACGTAGACACACTGTTTCGTGCTGGAAGCAACTAGCGGCATGAAATAATATCTAACGATCTAAATACCCAACGCAAAAGCGTACCTAAAACGCTCAAGGCTCTATATCAGTCCTTTGAATAATTTCGAAAAAGATCATGACAGTTATGTTTTACTTTCTGTCTAATTATTTTTCTCCCTTGTTATACTTATTTAGTCCTACTAATGCTTAATCATGATCATTACGTTACTATATACGAAACCATGCCAACGCTAATCCATAATGTAAATTATAATCGTTTAGATTCTAATGATGTCAACACTTGAGGCAAATTAATCTGTTAATTAATGTTATTTGCCATATAAAAATATAGCCAAATGCACGAACTGTTATCTAAAAAAGTTTCCAATTAAATAGCCTTGTGATGTAGTATTATTTAACGTATTAAAAACTAGTTAGGTTTCATAGAGTCATCATGTCATAATTTCAACCTGACAACCTCAGGCAGGCCCATCGGCATACTATTTACTATCATTGTTAAAACGATTGTTTAAATTTAATGGCTCGCAAAATCGTGTGTCGGCCATAATCAATAATGCGCCTATAGACCTGGGAAGCGTCGATCTGTCGAACGCATCCTCGAGTTCGTCGACATAGTAACTACCCTAATATGACAGGGGCGGAACTCATCCTGCACCCGTCTTGGCCCCTCTTCGTAGTTTATATCTAAGCAAATGCCATTAATTACAGGTACGTGCATCGTTGCTATGCAACTGTAACAACATGCAGCTTGCATATATTATAATCGTCTGTATCTACCATCTTGCCGAAACTGCATGATAATGTCTTACCTTTGGTTTTTACTAAGAAACTTATTCACAGGCCTTAGGCCTTTAAAGAATAAAGCATTACGACTAGAAAAAGAGGAGTAATTAGAGAATCATGACTTTGTATATTGATCACTAATGGTGTTGTATGTTGCTCGTTTCTTCGAAGCGATTCCTTTGAGCATATCAAATCGCAACAAAAATTTAAATAAAGGATTCAAAGTTGAAATAGCGTCACATACTTATCGGTGGCTTTCTTGTCTCTCCTGCTTCTGTTCCTTAGAATGTTCGATCTTTTGTGCATTGTGTGGCCTAACTTACACATCGTCTTTCTTTAAAAACGAACAAACTCAATGTAGCACAACAACCACCTAACGATTTTGAATATTTCGCGCCAGTTAGAAGGTAAACGCGATAATGTATACTGAGGTCTAACGCAGTAGGAAATCCAAAGATTGGTGATATGATGATTCATGTATGGACTATGTCAGTAACGGATGGCACTGGCTATACAGTGCTAGAAAGAGGTTTAGCTTTAATTGTTTTTGATTGTAGTTAGATTGATCAACACAATGGTAAGCTGTACGTCTAGGCAAATCTTCGAAAAAATCGATCAAAGGTCCGCTTAAACGTTGATATAACGTTTTTTCCAATACCACTTACTTATATTAGTGTATAGTAATAATTAATATATAAATCGAAAGTTGGAACCATCTTCCCTGCGCGTACTTGCTTTTCCTGTTTTTAGAAAAATAAGTCACGATATGCCTAAAAATACATTTTTCATCTAAGTGTAGTATTACAGAAATAAATACACTGCAGTTATATTCTAATTTGTCTTTTTTTTCCCTTTTAATATGGCTATAATTTATTTTATAACAATTTTCTTTTTATTTAGCATACCTATATAAAATGTTTAACAACAGACAAAAAACGGTTTAGTATTGTGACATCTCGGCAGCTTGAATGGCTTACACCTATCCTCATAGAACATCGAGGGGCGTTTCTAGCAACAGTAACGATAGATCAATTTGCGACAACTACTTACTTAAACGCCGCACTCATACAGGTGTTAGTTCAACAGACACTCTTATTTCAGTAACGACAGTGACTTATGTACAATGCGAGTGTCAATCTCTCAACTTAGTGACCTTATTTCCTCGTTAATAATATAGATCTGCGAGAACTCATGCACAAAATCAACGAATGGGTTGGTCGCTCACATTTCAAAAACGTCGTTATCTGTCAGACCTCTTCTCTGCCATTCTTGATTCGTAATTTTCGGGGCAACGCCGGCTCGACGGCCCTCAGCGTTGAATTATTCTATAACATTGGCGCAAGACGACGCCATATTATATAGTTTGACAATTTATAGTGAAGTAGAACTATTTCAGTTGATGTGCTGCGTGTTTTGCGATCATGCATTATCGAGATCTGCCTCGCTGAATCCTCGAGACCGTACGCCCCCGAAGCGTCCTACGTCCTTGTTGGCGATTTCTGCCTGATACTTGCGTTGGCTTTGCCCTTCTTTCCGAAGTCGCTGGTGCCTGAGTCTGCCCTGTGAGCGGCGAACGTCCTGACTCAGCGTTAGATCCCAAATAGGCGCGAAAAAAGGTCACCTGCTTCTCACGATACTCTCAATAGCTCTAATCTTTTGAGAAGTGCCACATCAACCCACGCAACAGACCCGCAGTTTCACAAAGCTTTTGTCCGTATATTCATATACTTTAATGCTAGTAACATCGAGATGGCCATCAATAAATGCCATTGTGTCATGTTGTGCAAAAAAAGATGGTGGAAACGTGACTCCCTTTCAGCTTTGATGTAGTGTGGTTCGTGCAAATATGCTATTGAAACATTACAGGGAAGGTGTCTTCATAAACCATTCTATAATACAGAAGAGTTCCGTCCATTTATGCTTAGGCTTGATGCTCATTCATGATGGTAAAATTATGGTAAAAAGTCACTGTAAATAGGGAAAAATACTGGCGACCTAGCTTAGCAAATAATCGACGCAAGCAAAAAAATCCACGTTTTTTCTGTTTAATTTATACGTAAAAGTCTAGCCTTGCTATTAACCCTCGCCGCTTTAGCAGTTACAAGCAAATTTTAGAAAACATGATACACCTTTGGCGAGTCCTCTTATCTTACATTGGAGAGAACGCGCATTTTAATAATGGAACCATTATATCACATGTTTTCTTGATAGGTAAAACCAAACGAACTAAAGCCAATTATTATTACAAAAGTTAGCACATATCCTGCAGCACGTTTATGGCGCTACCATTATAGATAAAATACTTTTAGGCTTATGTATTTTTAATATCGGAATATAATATTACCCCACACGCGCATGCAGTTTCATATCCAGCCATCATTTCCACTTTTTTTTTATTATATTGGTCCTCATGCGCAATTGTCTGAAATAACTACTACTTCATTTTACCTACATCCACAGCATACTTTCCGCCACTGAAGATGTTTCGTCGAACAAATTCTGTTAAACGGGCTAGAGTAGACAAATACGTATTGGTTAACAAATGCTTATGTAATCGCCTATTCCTTTGTCATCGTTGTTGTTGTGTTGCAGTGTGGTGGATAATAAAGCAAATGGATCCCATCCATGCACATCATTGCCTTATGTAGTGATTTATATTCTCGTAACATTAGCCCGAATAGAAAAATCCCGGAAACCGTCTGTATAGATTCTTCAAGGTCCAACGTGTTCTTGACGTCGCCTGACCCGTCACCCGACGTGCGGTGGCGCTCATGCCTGATTGAGTGGCCGCTGTTTGGGGCCGCTCGGTGGGGATGGCTGCTGTTGAAGCGTTGTACTTACTCGAGGAGCTTTTCACCACGCATGTCCCCTGACGACACCACTTTCCCGATGAGCAACTCGTACCGTCAAGCGCTGGATGAGCTGGCGTTGCCCACTGGCCCTCGAGGCACCAGAGTTCGCGACAGATGTCCTGGTGGGTCAATGGATGAAAATAAAGATTAGAAAAGAAGAAACAAAGTACAACCATTGAGTCTGTTAAATTATGCTACGAAATCATTTATGTCGTTATCTTTAAAACTTGCAAATTGCAAAGTCATTAGGTTTTTACCTAAAATAGCTTTTTGAAATCCCGTTCAAGGGTATAATTTGGGGTGTTCCAAAGGTAGCGCAATACGATGGGAGATTAAGGTTTTTAAGTAAATCGGTTTGTTTCCTTTTATGTGAATACATATTCAGCGAGCAAGATGTTTTTATCCGCATATTATAAAATATTATAACTATAAAATATTTTCTTATCCGCAAAATTAACTCTGAAGAGGCCACATCTTGGCACACACTGTGAACGCTTGTTAGGACATTAAGCAGAGCTTACCGACTTCTAAGACGCGTCTTTAGATACTTCCTCTTTCCAAACTTGGGCTTAAAATACATATTTACCATTCAAATATACAGTTGTAGAAGGCAAAAAATAAGATGGTCGGAGAGCGTTCGAAAACGCCAACTCCTAATTGGCCTCTCGCAAAGCTGCGCCGATACAAATTATATATATATATATATATAGGTTCTGCAGCAATTTCGTTTATCATTATCAAGTAGCTGAAGAAAGCTCGAAATCATTCATAATGGCTACAACCATCTTTATCTGCATTTTTTCAACGAGACTGCAAACTATAAATAAGAAGTGTGTAGGTCAAGATAGCTGTACATATTCCATTTATATATTCGTTCTCGTAGTACACATTTTTCAAACTTAACCCAATTACAATATAAAATAATAATACGACAAACTTTAGAAAGATGTTGATTGCGATCGTCACAAAGCAATGTTTGAAAAATCACGAACACTGGGCTGTAAAATCGCTTGTCTCGTTCAGTATCGGCGTAATTGACAGTAATTCAACTAACGTTAAAGGGCGGTGAGGAAGTTGTATACGGTTTGTGTTTGGGACTGAGGGCCATCTGACATTGCTGAAGGGCCGAATACTCTTCACCGGGAAGCTGAGGCAGTTTGGCGATGTCTACCGCAGGTGAAGCTGGTTTTGCCTCGTTTGCCAGACATTTATATTGACCTTTTCTGTAACATCGGAAATCATATATTGTCATCTGTAGTTAATTTCCCCCAATTTTTTTGCAAATTGTTCATTTAGGCTGGTCGAATGACCAATATGAACGTCTCAGCCATTGTCAGAAAAACAATCTAATCCAAGTTACTACCTGATTTAGATCCAGCTTTGTCTAATCCGTACGTATTTTAGAAAACTAATACTTTCATTTAGGTAGGAGGAACCATTACAAAATGAAATGTACGAATTTAATCCTTCGAATTTTAGAGCGCGCGTCCGCAAGTCTTCTTATACTCACCGTTCAGCATTTTTAACGTAGTCATTGCTGCATTTTGACCAATTGACTTTTCCAGCTCCAGTTCGATCGGACATGATATATTTGTTGCTATCACACGTGTTTCCTGACCCATCGTGCTGCATGCCAAGGCTGTCAGTGTCATAGTGTAAAAATGTGGCCCGTTCATATTTATTTCTAATAAAGCTATTCTCCTTAATTAGCACTCAGCATCGTGCGTCTATTTATGACACAACAGAAAAAAAATCAAAATTTCACGAAATAAAAGAAACTGATACCAGAGTCCATAGATGGGGTCCATAATTTTTCATGCATTCGCGACTACTATAATTATGCTTATAATTGGTTAGACGTTTTATTCCAAAAAAGTAATTCGAAATTCTTTACTTACCTGTGACCCATCTCATGAGCTATGACAAAGGCCGCCTCGGCAGAGTTACCTTCGTTGATGGTACAGCTATAGTCGCATCGACACATTCCGTTTACCCACGCTAAACCTGCGCATTTAGGAATAATGTAATTTATACGGTAGTTTATTATATTGAGTTATATGCCCAGAACTTTCAACCGTTTGAATGGCAATAGAGCAACATTATTTGCCTGTTCGGTTAGGGCATTTAACAGATATATATATATATATATATATATATATATATATGCAAGATAAATCTGACTCGCAGCAGTTGCAGTAAAAAGGATAAAAAAACAAGAACTTGCACTTTCTTAGCATACCCATGGAGCACAGACACACAGCTTCTTTCCTATACCATTTTGTGTTACTTTTCGCGGTAACGCGGAATTGATCTACTCAACTTATTTGAAAAATTCTTACCAAGTACTTTGTCATTCTTGATGCTTCCAGTCACTTTATACATATCCAGGCCAGTTAGCAGAATCGCATGATCCCAGTGATCTTTGCTTCCCGTTGCTGGCAGTCGTTTGCACTGCCAAGCGCAAAAGCTGTCAAGATAGCGATCGATATTGCCACTTCCGGTGTTTGGAGATGTCTTTATGAGCGAAAAACAGATAAATAAATAA